TTTTTTTTTCGGGAACCAATTCGTACACATTTAATTGACCCGGGAACCAACTCTACGTTTGCCTTTTTGACCAAGCTCCGGTGATATATAAGTAATAAGTATATATATACAAAATATATAGTTATACGCTTATTTTTCATCAATTATTATATTCAACGAACCTATTTATTTTTAAAATTTTATAGGTGGCACCTAAGATTCAAAAACAGAATACCATTATGAGGGAAGCATTACCTGCTAAGTTAAAACTTGAAGTAACATTTTTATGAAATTAACAATCACAATTCATAATAAAATTTAAAAATGTGTTTTTGATATTTTTAATATTCAAAATGAAAACATAACATTAAACATAACAAAATACATTTTTAGCTCATAAGATACTTTAAATAAAATAGTTAATACCACATATTATGATAATTTTATGAAATTAACAATTAACAATCATGATCACTCCAGTAACTATAATACAGTTGTGCATTTGCCTGTGGGCTGTGGTTCATTTATAGGGTGAGAGAAGCGCGGCACAATTTCAATTGTATCATTGTCTGTACTTCAAACATCATAATCACCATCAAATGTTTGAGATRCTTCACTTAATACTGGTGATAGTGGTCTAGGTATCATGTTCATTCGGGCACTAGTCAACATACTCTGTATCTTTTCATGGCATACCAATGATTGTCTTAGTGGCAATTTTCCAAATGAGCCRCTACATGATTACCAAAAATAATAAATTCATTAGTTGTTGCTTTTAGTTTGCATACAGCTCTTAGGTTTCAACAGCATTATCTAACGAGGAATCAATCTTTGATATTTTATTCAAATTTTGTCCACTTTTTTTCCTCCTGCGCTTTGCTAATTGAGCTGGAGATGTATTCATATCATTTAATATCAGTGTTGCATACACTTTCAGGCTTAGTAGTAATTATTTCAGCATTGTTTTAGCCACCAACAATTGTAACTGCATCGTTTGAACAGTTTGAATGTGTTGTAAACTAAAACAAATAGGAGTAATATATTAGAATGAGCAAAAAATAAATTTATAATTTAGTAAAAGCAACTTATGCACTTCATAACTGCATCAGGAAAAATGGAAAGAATCCAAACTCAATATCTGTAGATATAGAAGATACAGAAACAGGATTTCTTCTTAATGGCTCATGGAGGAATGATACTATCCTACTGGTTTACAGGTAAAACRTACGAATTTTTCGACAAACTCTTTAGCTATTGTATTTGCGTCATGTCTAGGTATCGGTATAGCAAGTGAATATTTGGTTAGGTCGTCTTGTATTGTGAGGATGTAAGAGTTGTTCTTATAGGATGTGGTAATTGGTCCAACTATGTCCATGAATATTTTCTCAAATGGAACTCTGGCTGTAKTCGTAATGACCATAGGTTGTTTCACTGTGAGATTACTGGCTTTGTTGACCTGACAAGATTGACATTTCTTGATAAAGTCTATTACGTCTGCCTTTAGTCCCTTCCAGGAATGTTGCATCTTGATCCGCTTATGGTTCTGGAGATCCCTTGGTGGCCTCCCAGCACCCCATTATGAAATTCTTCGAGAATTTTAAGTTTTTCTTCGGGACTATATCTCTGGTGACTGTAAATTACTATTTTTATTCGTGACCCTTTAAATACGTATTTTATCATGGCCTTGACTTTGTCCCAATTGAGTTGGTCCAGCCCACATCCAATACGTGGCATCGCGATGTGTGAGATCAGTTMTTGTTCTGCCTTGCTTCTCAGGGTTTGGAGAGTTTTGTATAGATTTTCATACGTGGACTTTTGGAAACATTTCTCCTTTGTTATTAGATATAACAGTTTTTTGCCTTCGTGTTCCAATTGTGCTATTTCTGTTACTCTTATTTGTTGTTCCTTGAGAACGTCGGTATGTCCGAAACGGCGATCGAACACCAGGGCTAATCCACGGGACATGTCTAAATCTTCGGATACACAATGGGCTAGTGCATAGTCTTGCGTCGCTTCGAATAGGTCTCCTTCCAGCTCGATAACTCGGTGGTTAACTACCGGAGAATCGTTGCGTACAAAGTTTTCGTAAGCATTTTCCCGATAATTGAAATATTTTATGTGCGGTATCTTACTCAAAGCGTCTGCGCTGGTATTGAGAACTCCCAGTTTATAAATTATTTCCTAGTCATGTTCCTTTAGCTTGAGCCTCCAGCGGATGAGTCTCGCGCTCGGATTGGCCACTGAAAATAATCAAGTTAATGGTCGGTGATCAGTGACAATATAGAACTTGTGCCCAGTACGTAATGTCTGAATTGTTTTACGGCCCATACAATGGCTAACGGTTCCTTTTCTGTCGTATTATAATTTGCCTCCGCTTTGTTGAGTGTTCTTATTATATAGGATATTGGTAAATCCGATCCCACTCGTCCTTGCGATAACACGGCCCCAATCGCCGAATTTGACGTCGTAGTAATCGTATCTGTAGTAATCAGAAATGGTTAAGAGAAATCCGGGTGTTGTAGTAGTGGTTCGGTGGTAAGGACCCACTTAAGCGTCTCGAAGGAGTGTTGGCACATGTCCGTCCACTCGAATCTAGCTTCTTTCTTGAGAAGCATGGTGAATGGTTTGGATATTTGGCTGAAATCTTTGACAAACTTTCGATAGTAACCTGCTAATCTGAGGAAGAATTTAACCTCCCTCGGGTTGCCTGGAACTGGAAAGTTAGTCAAACACGATGTTTTGTCGGGGTCTGGTTTTATGCCCTCTTCAGATATAATGTGACCTAGGTAATTTACTTCCCGTCGCATAAATTCGCACTTGCTCAGCTAAAACTTGAGATTATATTGCCTCAGGCGGTCAAGTACCTCCCTGAGCCGCTCTTCGTATTCTTGGATCGATGAAGCTATCACTATCACGTCATCCAGATATACGAAGGCCCGGAAACCATTATTTTATACCCATTAGTACTCAGTTGACCAGACGTTGGAACGTCGAAGATGTCCCTTTTAGTCCAAAAGACATTCTTTGGAACTGAAAATGTCCTTGGTTGGTACTAAAAGCAGTCTTCTATTGATCTTTTGGGTGTAGTGGTACCTGGTGGTAGCCGCTAGCCCATGTCTAGGCAGCTGAAATGCTTAGCTCTGCCTAGTTGATCCAATATTTCATTGATATTGGGCATTGGGAACGCGTCGCCGATGGTGATGCTGTTGAGCTTTCTGTAGTCCACGACCACCTGGTACTTTTTCTCTCCCAAAGCGTTGACCTTTTTTGGCACGATCAAGAGAGGTGCGTTCCAAGGACTGTCACTCGTGGTGATTACTCCGTCTTGCAGGAGTTCATTTACWTGCTTATTTATCTCTGACTKCTGTGAGTAGGGAAGACGATAAGGTCTTTGGTGAATCGGCTGTGMGCCCTGTGGTATTTTGATCTCATATTGCACGGCTTCCGTGCACGAGATGATGTCACCTTCAAGATGAAAAATGTCTGCGTACTCGTTACAGATGTTTTCTACAGACTTCCTTTCTTCCTTATTGGTGTGGTCTAATCGTAGTGTTTTTTGTAACAGATCAATTCTGTTCTRTCGGTTATCGGCCCTTCGTATGCTAAATATAGTTTTAGCTGGTGCCTCATCGATCAGCTGGTGGGATAGCTCGTTTAAGTGAGGTGGTTCCATTTGTATCGGYACCTCCCTTGAGTTAGCTATGCATATCAACACCTGTCCGTTTTGTACGGTGTTCAACACATTACCACAAAATAAGTCCTCTTCGAGCTGTTGGGAATGAATCAGAACGTCTCGGTTGTCTCCGACGACGTTCGTGGTACAGACTGGTATTACTACCTGGCTGCGCGGTGGTACCGTTATCTCGTTGTTGGAAATATCCCACGTCAATGTTCCCTGATTGCAGTCAATTACAGCCTTTAGTTGTTCCAGAAGTGGTCGTCCCATAATCCCGTCCTGYGGTATCGGGAAACCCATTGGTATTCGGTAGGCTGTGTGGAGTTTCCGATGTGGATGTCCAGCAGGACGGATCCCATCGTAGTGACCGGTGTTTTATGAATACCTTGCAGGCTATAGGTCTGGTCAGTATTTACCTTTATATTGTCAGACATAGTGTCCAGTTTTATTAGGTTTAGGTCAGCCCCCGTGTCTAATAGTAAGTTTGCTGGCCCTTGGTGGCATT